ACACACCCTTTCTCAAGGTCTCCCACTGCTGTGAAGCAGCTCTTGGTCAGAATGTAATGAAATCTGGGAAGCGTTAGTGGAATGACTTGAGCAAAAGGTAGTGCACACAAAACAGAGTGGGTCAGGTATTTTAGTGCAAGAGATGCCCAGTCTGTGGGATGGGAAAATGTAACTCACTGAGAGTGAGATTTATTTGCTGTAAGAAGTTATTTTTCTACCAGTGATTTAAGCACCTTAGGAAAATGAATCCACATAAGTCTGTGCTATTATTCTGGGTTGCAAGGGCTTGGGTCAAAGGGGATAATAAAGTGGAAGGACACTTATTTATCTTGATCTCATTTGATTTGCACAAAACATAGGCTATGCAATTTCCAAAACTGTCAACTTTCACCAAAGCAGCAGTCATGGTGACACAGAAAGGCAACAAAATTTCCTGTGTTGAGGAATACAGCATTGCACTTAATTCTATTTATGTGTGTGTGCACATATGTGTGTGTGTCTATTTACCTGTACATGTTTATATGTACATGTAGGTATTTGTATACAGACGCACATATATATATACATGTATTTGTGTCTGTATATAAATATGGGTGTGTGTGTTTACATATGTACATATATATAAATTTTCATACCTTCTCCATAAAATCCAGGATGCTAGGTAGAGATGGATTATTATCGTTTTACAGATGGAAAAGTTGAGGAACAATAAAATTAAGAGACTTGCTTAAGTTCTCTTAGCTTGTTTTCATTTTATTTATTTACACTATATACCAACTCCCTTACTTCCAAAAAGCACTTTGCAATTGCTTCAATGACAGTTGGGGATAGTGATGGGTGAGATGACTGGTCCAGAGATGATTCTACTCAACCAAGTTGCTCAGAAGAGAAAGAGTAACACAGTCAAACAGTTCTGTATCGAAATCTTGGCCCGGCCACTTACCTACCTGTAACCTTGTGAAAGTCAGACTCTCTCTCTAAGCCTCATTTTTTCATCGGCCAAAGAGGGGATAAAAATAGGGCTTGCCTCGCAGACTTGATGTGAGGCTTAAACAGGACCAGTGTTTAAAGAGTTCAGTCGGTGCATGGCATGGCCAACATTTGATGGCTCACGAGTGGAGCGCTCGCTGCAGTGGATCTGTGGTTTGGCCTCTGCTTTATTCAGTCCTGTGTATAATCCTATTTTTGAGGACAGCAAATTGGCCTCTCTTCATAAAATAAATACATCACGGGGGACACTTCCCTGGTGGCACAGTGGTTAAGAATCTGCCTGCCAATGCAGGGGACACGGGTTCGAGCCTTGGTCCGGGAAGATACCACATGCCGCAGAGCAATTAAGCCCATGCGCCACTACTACTGAGCCTGTGCTCTAGACCCCGCGAGCCACAACTACTGAAGCCCGCGTGCCTAGAGCCCACGCTCCACAACGAAGAGTAGCCCCTGCTTGCTGCAAGAAAGCTTGCAGGCTTTCTCTAGTTAGTGCAGCAATGAAGACCCAATGCAGCCAAAAATAAATATAAATAAATAAACAAATTAGAAAAAAATACATCATGTCTACCAAGAACCCTATGTTAAAATAATATTCCAGAGCATTTCTCTTTTTTAAGACAGAGAGATGGCTTCCATAGGAATAAAGAAGGAAATCTGTAAACACATTTGCAGTGACAGAAAAGCCCAACTTTGAACTTGTATGTTTATGTGTGTTGTCATCTCTCCTTCACTGATCCTCAGTTATTGCACAATGTTCTGTCCTTTTAGATGGCAGGGTTACAAGAATGTATAGTTTAAACTCTGCATTTTGCAAAAGATGAGCATTATTTTTGAGTCTGGGAAACTTCAAAATAATTTGATTGCCTTCTGTGTTTTGTTTCATTAGGTAAAGGCAAAAAAACAGTTCTAGCTGTTTTCTGTACCAATATACAGCTTGTGTTTAAATTAAAAGAAGAGCCAGGCTCACGACCAGAGGGGAGAATCATGAAACGGAAACCCTGTAATATGTAAAAAGGCTATCACTGGAGAGTAAGAAGAGGAGTTTTAAACTCGGGCATCTTTTTTGTAAACATCTTGTTCAAATGTATTGTGCATTTTCCTTCCCCCTTCCTGCCACTAAACCAGGAAAGAAGCTTAAGTGCTGTCAGAAAAGGAGGTTTACAGAATCCTAACAATACAGGCATGTTTATGGGAGACTACATTTCTTGTTATGCCAGTGAATTAGCAAAACTGAACACATAATGGCGTGGGTTTTTTTTTTCCGCCGTGTTAGCATCTGAATTGTCTCCGTTTAGCCCCTAAAGCAGTTGTAAATTTATTGTTCCTAGGTTACCTAAACAGACTGAGACCAATCATTTCAATATTTCAGAGGTTATCCCTACTGCTTTTCCCATGAAGACATTATGTAGAGCAATATGATTCTGGCACATTTAAGGTGTTGGACCTGGATGAAGTGGAACTATTATAAAATAATCTACCATGTCACAGAGGTTGCCAGGTAAAGTAGAGTTTCTTTAGTTTTAAGTGGATTAAAATAGACCAGGATTGCCCATCCTCAGTACTGCCCACATTTTAGGCCAGATAATTCTTCGCTGTAGGGGATTTTCTTGGGCATTGCAGGATGTTTAGATGCATCTCTGCTCCCTACCCACCAGATGCCAGGAATACCTCCCCAGGTATGACAATCAAAAATGTCTCCAGGTATTGCCAAATGTTCCCCAGAGATGGGTAAAGCCGACCCAAGTACTGGGGCTAAAAGTTGATATTCCGAAGACAGTGCTTCTAAGTAGGTGGGTGAGCCCGGACAAGTTATGTAACATCTCCACACCTCAGTTTCCTCATCTGTAAAAGGAAGATAATAATATTCCCTACTTCACAGGATTAAATAAGATAATGCCTATCCCCTGGGAAGAGCTCAATGTTAACCATTATCATTATTTTAACAATTCTATGCAATTTCATTTTTTTTCCTTTCTGATTTCAGTTTCAATGCAGGTTAAAGATACAAACAATGGGAACCTATTTAAAGGGGGGACGTTTGAGTGCAGTTACACAATTACAGATGGAGATCTTTACTTATGTTTGAGTGGTCAGGTTATAGAAGCTCAAGTATTGCATAATTTTGAATCCCAATTTGCTAAACAGCTTCAGTTATTGCTTAACATATTTTATTATCTTGCAAGTGGAGATTCCTAATTCATCTAAATTAAGGGCTGCTGCCAGATGACTCTTCTGTAAATATAACTGCTCTATTGTGTGTTCTGAAAGTCTTGACGTGATGCCTGGTCTTTTCCCTGGAGTTCTTCCTTCACCATTGGTCACATAAATATTATTGTAGTATTCATTGAAATAATAACAAAAGCTACCATTTTTAAGAGCAACTTACTGTGTGCCAAGATAAGTGCTTTCCATATATTATTATTTCACTCAATCCTCAAAACAATCTTAAAAATGAGGTGGGTATCTCAGAGAGACGAAGTTACTGTGTTCCAGCCAGCAAAGGTCAGAACGAGGTTGGAGCCCGGACTGGTGCCTTCACAGCCTATGCTCTTAAAATGCAACTTCATTATCAAGGCTCACAGAGCTACCCTGAATTGATAATCATAACATATGCCCCTTTCTGAAACACATTCCACCCTACCCCCACCTCTCACATCATCATTCACTTTTCTTGCTTTTCCCCAGCCAGCTCAAAATACCTGGAGGGGAGTGGTTATAAAAGAACCATGCTCTGATCCACATTTAAGCCAAGCACAGTGATTTAAAAAGGGAGGGGGAGAGAGAGAGAGAGAGAGAGAGAAGGAGAGAGAGAGGGAGATACCACTCATTTCACATTAGTCTTAATGACACTCACTTCACATTAGCCTTAATGAGGACTAATAAAAGTTGTCTGGAAGCTGAAGGAGGGAAAGGCTGAATTCACAAATAGGGAAAGGTAGGAAGATTCATCCATTAAATAGGTGATTCTTCAAATGCATCCCAGGAATCCAATTCTTGCATAGAGTATGCATATTTTACTTCAAGGTAAGGAGTAAATTAGGAGAATAACACTGCTGCCAGAGGTGCCTTAAAGCTTATATTTTTGAGACAATTGCCAGTGGTGACCAAAAACTGAGAAATCAATGGAAAGTAAGGTCAGAAAGCGTACCCTTGGAGGTCCTGGGAAGAAAAGTTACATAGCTAGCTCAGAAACAGCAACCTTCTCATCACATAGTCTTGTGAGTCAGCGCAATTGGGCTAGGGTTTGAGAGGCCAGTAGGTTTGCTGGTTGGCCTTTGGCAGAAGAGATCACATGGCCCAGGGTAAGTCACAAGCAGTTCTGAGCAAAGGGCAGGCAGACCATCCACTCACAGCTGCCAGGAGTTAGGCTGGAGGCAGCAGGAAGTCTGTGAGTGTTGTGGGAACTAAGAAGCTCATCAGCCCACAGCATTACAGTATTAAGCAGGGCCTCAGTGGTCAGCCCGTCCTGTCCTTTATCAACACATGACTCTTCCTCAGTATTCCCACCCACAGGTGTCCAACCTGTGTTTTGAAAGCTCCAGTGACTGGAAGCTCTTATTGTTCATAAATTAATAACTTGGCCATCCTTCAGTCTGTGTCCTTGTGAACGCTACAGCATGCTGGCTGTGCCACAGCCAGTCATATAAAAGAGATTAACATCGATAGGGTTAATTATGTACATAAGTAAATTTATGAAGGTGCCTACCATATGCAGGCACTTTATAAATTTACTCAATGAATAATTTTGACAACAATGAAACAGATTAGGAAGGGGAGGCCCAGTGAGGTTAAATGTCTTTCTCACCCAAGCTCACACAAAATTAAGTGGGAGTCACTCCTGGTCCAGGAGGCCCCCAAGCCACACTTTGTCTGCCACGGCAGGATTTTTGCTGTCAATTTCTAAACGTGGTTGGAAGAGTTTAGGATATACAGACTACAACAGAGAAAGGAGCCCATATAGATGAAGGCAGAATCTCCTGAAAGCATTGCTTGCAAGTAGCAATACTTACAGAGATGTCATCACTGAAGTCAATTTCATCCAAATCAAGGTATTCAGGGGCTTCCATCATTCTTCTTTGCACATTTTGAGTAAGGTCAAATCCTTATAAAGTCCTGGACCCGACAGAAGCACAAAAGAAAAGCAAAACGGTTAGCTGTTTTATAACCAAAAAGCACATTTATATTTAGACAAACAAAGTGAGAAAAGTCACTGGGTGCAAGGGCTGCCTTTGAGCACACTTCCTCCCTTTGAATGTCCCCAGCTTGGCTCTCCAGAAGCAGTAAGCACAGCTCCTCCAGGCTCCCCGGGAGGCTCCCTAGGGAGCAGCCATGGTCCTTCGCCATATTGCATTTGTGCCTGTTTGTCTTTGCCAGAGCAGTAACTCAGGTCAGATTCTCCCCTTGTGATCAATATTAAGATTGACTCAGCCCACATCCACCACTACACCTTGGGTGAATGCAGGGGCTTCGAGGATGGGGAGCAAACCTTGAAATCTTAGGACAACCATATTCAAATGTTTATGTGGGCATATCTTTGGATCCTGGGCATGGAGTAATGAATACTGGATCTCCACGGTAATAACACAAGGACAAGGCAGATACTAACTTACCAACAATAATGGATATTTCAGAATTTGTAGTACAACCTCCAGTTCAGCCCCTCAGAAAAAGGATCTAAGCAGAGATTTAAACCACAGAGTTATTGCATCGCCCCCTGCTTCTAACAGCTTTGCCTGCCGATGCCAGAGTGACCCGACACAGGCGCCAGAATGTCCTCAGTCAGCACTTGCCTTGGGGCTGCCTGTGGCAGTTCTTTAAATCTGTCAAGGAAGATATATCACCTCCCAGTTCATTTTCCCACCACTTATCCTCATCACCATTGGCAGTGGCAGTGGTACCTACAGATGTCAGGAACAGAAATATAGATCTCCTGGCAGTGCCTTGGGGTGCAGTTATCTTCCGCAGAGCAAACTCTCAGATAACGAAAAAGATTCCATTTCCCGTAACTTGTCTTTCTTATTATAAAAACTGTCTTATGTACTCAGACTTGAGTATCCGAAATAATTTACTTTTTTCTCTTTCGGATCTCTAATGAAGGGGTACCTTGCCAAAGGGGAAGGCGTACCTTGCCAAAGAGTAAGGAGTACATTATTGGAAAGGGAAAATAAATCTAGGCTGATGAAAATGAGCTTATCGATATAAGATCAAGAATGTAAAAATACCTAGTTTTTAAAAGGAAACTAACTCTGAAGGCACTGATTTCTCATTTTGAGGTTTTTAAAAAATTTACAGAAATAGCATAATTGCGGCAAAGGGGGGAAACCACTCTCCGTTCCATACCTCAAACCCATGACTTGACTCAATTTTCAGTGCTTCCCCCTTCCTTCCCTTCCCACACGCATATACCATTTTTACATATTTTTAATTATAGTGGATACGGAGTTGATCCAAAAAAGAATTAGGATGCTACTACCATATAGGATCTTAGACCGATCCCTTGCTAGAGAGGAGGGGCAAGCCAGGTTCTCTGCACCTTGAATATCCTTCTAGTCTTTTTCACACCTAAAACTGGAACAAAAGCTGTATTCTTTACCCTCCCTAACTCAGCGTCTAAGTCCACTGTGATAAGCCCTACACACCCTTTCTCAAGGTCTCCCACTGCTGTGAAGCAGCTCTTGGTCAGAATGTAATGAAATCTGGGAAGCGTTAGTGGAATGACTTGAGCAAAAGGTAGTGCACACAAAACAGAGTGGGTCAGGTATTTTAGTGCAAGAGATGCCCAGTCTGTGGGATGGGAAAATGTAACTCACTGAGAGTGAGATTTATTTGCTGTAAGAAGTTATTTTTCTACCAGTGATTTAAGCACCTTAGGAAAATGAATCCACATAAGTCTGTGCTATTATTCTGGGTTGCAAGGGCTTGGGTCAAAGGGGATAATAAAGTGGAAGGACACTTATTTATCTTGATCTCATTTGATTTGCACAAAACATAGGCTATGCAATTTCCAAAACTGTCAACTTTCACCAAAGCAGCAGTCATGGTGACACAGAAAGGCAACAAAATTTCCTGTGTTGAGGAATACAGCATTGCACTTAATTCTATTTATGTGTGTGTGCACATATGTGTGTGTGTCTATTTACCTGTACATGTTTATATGTACATGTAGGTATTTGTATACAGACGCACATATATATATATACATGTATTTGTGTCTGTATATAAATATGGGTGTGTGTGTTTACATATGTACATATATATAAATTTTCATACCTTCTCCATAAAATCCAGGATGCTAGGTAGAGATGGATTATTATCGTTTTACAGATGGAAAAGTTGAGGAACAATAAAATTAAGAGACTTGCTTAAGTTCTCTTAGCTTGTTTTCATTTTATTTATTTACACTATATACCAACTCCCTTACTTCCAAAAAGCACTTTGCAATTGCTTCAATGACAGTTGGGGATAGTGATGGGTGAGATGACTGGTCCAGAGATGATTCTACTCAACCAAGTTGCTCAGAAGAGAAAGAGTAACACAGTCAAACAGTTCTGTATCGAAATCTTGGCCCGGCCACTTACCTACCTGTAACCTTGTGAAAGTCAGACTCTCTCTCTAAGCCTCATTTTTTCATCGGCCAAAGAGGGGATAAAAATAGGGCTTGCCTCGCAGACTTGATGTGAGGCTTAAACAGGACCAGTGTTTAAAGAGTTCAGTCGGTGCATGGCATGGCCAACATTTGATGGCTCACGAGTGGAGCGCTCGCTGCAGTGGATCTGTGGTTTGGCCTCTGCTTTATTCAGTCCTGTGTATAATCCTATTTTTGAGGACAGCAAATTGGCCTCTCTTCATAAAATAAATACATCACGGGGGACACTTCCCTGGTGGCACAGTGGTTAAGAATCTGCCTGCCAATGCAGGGGACACGGGTTCGAGCCTTGGTCCGGGAAGATACCACATGCCGCAGAGCAATTAAGCCCATGCGCCACTACTACTGAGCCTGTGCTCTAGACCCCGCGAGCCACAACTACTGAAGCCCGCGTGCCTAGAGCCCACGCTCCACAACGAAGAGTAGCCCCTGCTTGCTGCAAGAAAGCTTGCAGGCTTTCTCTAGTTAGTGCAGCAATGAAGACCCAATGCAGCCAAAAATAAATATAAATAAATAAACAAATTAGAAAAAAATACATCATGTCTACCAAGAACCCTATGTTAAAATAATATTCCAGAGCATTTCTCTTTTTTAAGACAGAGAGATGGCTTCCATAGGAATAAAGAAGGAAATCTGTAAACACATTTGCAGTGACAGAAAAGCCCAACTTTGAACTTGTATGTTTATGTGTGTTGTCATCTCTCCTTCACTGATCCTCAGTTATTGCACAATGTTCTGTCCTTTTAGATGGCAGGGTTACAAGAATGTATAGTTTAAACTCTGCATTTTGCAAAAGATGAGCATTATTTTTGAGTCTGGGAAACTTCAAAATAATTTGATTGCCTTCTGTGTTTTGTTTCATTAGGTAAAGGCAAAAAAACAGTTCTAGCTGTTTTCTGTACCAATATACAGCTTGTGTTTAAATTAAAAGAAGAGCCAGGCTCACGACCAGAGGGGAGAATCATGAAACGGAAACCCTGTAATATGTAAAAAGGCTATCACTGGAGAGTAAGAAGAGGAGTTTTAAACTCGGGCATCTTTTTTGTAAACATCTTGTTCAAATGTATTGTGCATTTTCCTTCCCCCTTCCTGCCACTAAACCAGGAAAGAAGCTTAAGTGCTGTCAGAAAAGGAGGTTTACAGAATCCTAACAATACAGGCATGTTTATGGGAGACTACATTTCTTGTTATGCCAGTGAATTAGCAAAACTGAACACATAATGGCGTGGGTTTTTTTTTTCCGCCGTGTTAGCATCTGAATTGTCTCCGTTTAGCCCCTAAAGCAGTTGTAAATTTATTGTTCCTAGGTTACCTAAACAGACTGAGACCAATCATTTCAATATTTCAGAGGTTATCCCTACTGCTTTTCCCATGAAGACATTATGTAGAGCAATATGATTCTGGCACATTTAAGGTGTTGGACCTGGATGAAGTGGAACTATTATAAAATAATCTACCATGTCACAGAGGTTGCCAGGTAAAGTAGAGTTTCTTTAGTTTTAAGTGGATTAAAATAGACCAGGATTGCCCATCCTCAGTACTGCCCACATTTTAGGCCAGATAATTCTTCGCTGTAGGGGATTTTCTTGGGCATTGCAGGATGTTTAGATGCATCTCTGCTCCCTACCCACCAGATGCCAGGAATACCTCCCCAGGTATGACAATCAAAAATGTCTCCAGGTATTGCCAAATGTTCCCCAGAGATGGGTAAAGCCGACCCAAGTACTGGGGCTAAAAGTTGATATTCCGAAGACAGTGCTTCTAAGTAGGTGGGTGAGCCCGGACAAGTTATGTAACATCTCCACACCTCAGTTTCCTCATCTGTAAAAGGAAGATAATAATATTCCCTACTTCACAGGATTAAATAAGATAATGCCTATCCCCTGGGAAGAGCTCAATGTTAACCATTATCATTATTTTAACAATTCTATGCAATTTCATTTTTTTTCCTTTCTGATTTCAGTTTCAATGCAGGTTAAAGATACAAACAATGGGAACCTATTTAAAGGGGGGACGTTTGAGTGCAGTTACACAATTACAGATGGAGATCTTTACTTATGTTTGAGTGGTCAGGTTATAGAAGCTCAAGTATTGCATAATTTTGAATCCCAATTTGCTAAACAGCTTCAGTTATTGCTTAACATATTTTATTATCTTGCAAGTGGAGATTCCTAATTCATCTAAATTAAGGGCTGCTGCCAGATGACTCTTCTGTAAATATAACTGCTCTATTGTGTGTTCTGAAAGTCTTGACGTGATGCCTGGTCTTTTCCCTGGAGTTCTTCCTTCACCATTGGTCACATAAATATTATTGTAGTATTCATTGAAATAATAACAAAAGCTACCATTTTTAAGAGCAACTTACTGTGTGCCAAGATAAGTGCTTTCCATATATTATTATTTCACTCAATCCTCAAAACAATCTTAAAAATGAGGTGGGTATCTCAGAGAGACGAAGTTACTGTGTTCCAGCCAGCAAAGGTCAGAACGAGGTTGGAGCCCGGACTGGTGCCTTCACAGCCTATGCTCTTAAAATGCAACTTCATTATCAAGGCTCACAGAGCTACCCTGAATTGATAATCATAACATATGCCCCTTTCTGAAACACATTCCACCCTACCCCCACCTCTCACATCATCATTCACTTTTCTTGCTTTTCCCCAGCCAGCTCAAAATACCTGGAGGGGAGTGGTTATAAAAGAACCATGCTCTGATCCACATTTAAGCCAAGCACAGTGATTTAAAAAGGGAGGGGGAGAGAGAGAGAGAGAGAGAGAGAAGGAGAGAGAGAGGGAGATACCACTCATTTCACATTAGTCTTAATGACACTCACTTCACATTAGCCTTAATGAGGACTAATAAAAGTTGTCTGGAAGCTGAAGGAGGGAAAGGCTGAATTCACAAATAGGGAAAGGTAGGAAGATTCATCCATTAAATAGGTGATTCTTCAAATGCATCCCAGGAATCCAATTCTTGCATAGAGTATGCATATTTTACTTCAAGGTAAGGAGTAAATTAGGAGAATAACACTGCTGCCAGAGGTGCCTTAAAGCTTATATTTTTGAGACAATTGCCAGTGGTGACCAAAAACTGAGAAATCAATGGAAAGTAAGGTCAGAAAGCGTACCCTTGGAGGTCCTGGGAGGAAAAGTTACATAGCTAGCTCAGAAACAGCAACCTTCTCATCACATAGTCTTGTGAGTCAGCGCAATTGGGCTAGGGTTTGAGAGGCCAGTAGGTTTGCTGGTTGGCCTTTGGCAGAAGAGATCACATGGCCCAGGGTAAGTCACAAGCAGTTCTGAGCAAAGGGCAGGCAGACCATCCACTCACAGCTGCCAGGAGTTAGGCTGGAGGCAGCAGGAAGTCTGTGAGTGTTGTGGGAACTAAGAAGCTCATCAGCCCACAGCATTACAGTATTAAGCAGGGCCTCAGTGGTCAGCCCGTCCTGTCCTTTATCAACACATGACTCTTCCTCAGTATTCCCACCCACAGGTGTCCAACCTGTGTTTTGAAAG